CATTTTATAATTGTTCTTTAAAATGATTTTTACTTAAAAATATATTAAAATAATATTTTTTATTTTTTTAAAAAATATTTTAATATTAACATATCAAAATAATCTAACAACAAAAAATTAATTTTTTAAAAAATACTTTTAAAATACAAAAAGAAAAAGAAAAAATTATACATTGTCAGGTTATTATGTCGACTCATGAGTCACTGAGTTAGTTCAAATTATTTATTTTTATTAAAATAATTTTTTTTATTTTATATTATTATTACCAAGTTTTAATTATGCTGGAAAAAAAAATCATGCAATTAAATTTTATTTTAATCGACTAGGTTTTACCGGGCAATGTTTTGTCTGGCTCAAATAAAAAAATTTCCTGCATTAATCCACTAATCTGAGTTGAGTGTAATATATAGGTTGAGTGGTCAATGCAACTTCTCTCCAGCAACATCCTCGATGACAAAAGCCTTTTAAAAAAACGAAGTTGTTAATATTATATTTTAAATAGTATAAATATATACTTGATGTTGTAGTGAATGATGCATGTTAAAAATAATTTTTTATTTAATAAATATACTATAATGATTTTTTTAGATTTTTTATTTTTTATTAATTTGAAAATTAAAACTAACATAATTTGATAATTTTTTAAAAGTGAAACACGTTTGTAAAACTTATATAAAAATAGAAGCTATTAAACTCTAAAACCCTCGTTAAGATTGTGTGATGGTGAAGCCATGAATGGTGATCAAGATGGCGATGAACGGTAGATTATAGCTGGTGGCAACAGTGGCGGTGCTGGTGAAAGCGATTACACCAGTTAAACAGTGGTTGTTGTCAGCTACTCCACGCTCCGCTGATAGTGAGAGCCTGTGCACTTGCACCGATAGAAGGCCAGTACGAGAAAAGATTTTCTCCCCGTAAAGGCGGGTGCTTGGTTCCTATAACGAGGAGGCAGTGGGTACAAATTACAATAACCTCAAACTCGTTTAGCCTCCACACACGTGTACGTTAACGTGTTTGATTTTTTATTTTCACTAATTTCTATTTTTATCATGATTTTAATAGAGATGGGATGTTTTGACTTTCTCATATTTAGAAATGCCGTGAATATTGTTTTTTTATTTTAAAATATATTATTATTTTTTTATTTTTTAAAATTTATTTTTCATAACAGCACATCAAAATATTAAAAAATAATGCAGAATATTTTTTTAATTTTTTTTATAAAAAATAGATTACAAGGCAACCCTTAACAAGGTCTAATTCCACACATGTATATTTTTTAATTGCATTTGTTCTATAGATAAATTATAGATTTTGTTATTACCTTTAATAATCACATAAACAATCAATAAGCTCAGAAAGTGTTGCATTATTGTTATCTCGTGTCCGAATAAAAGTGAGTGTGTAGGTTTGAAAATTACCAAAATAAGTGCTTAGAAAGACGAGGGTAAAAGCGCGGATTTAATGGAGCTCCATTGTTACCCTTAGCTTGATTGCTTGGCTTTTAGGAGTGAAATATGATCCATTCCATCCGCGAACAATATTGAGTTACAATCACAAAATCAACCATTTAGGTAGTGGTTAAGTGGTAAAAATTTGGAATCAAGGAGTTTGTTCTCTCTGTGGTCTCAGATTCGAGTCCTTAATTGCTCATACGATGGCCACTGGAGGCTTACATGGTCGTTAACTTCAGGGCCCGTGGGATTAGTCGTGGTACGCGCAAGCTGGCCCGGACACCCACGTTAATCTAAAAAAAAAAAAAAATCACAAAATCACAGTAGAGGTTTTTCTTACATGAAACACTATTACTTTTTAAAGAAAGATAAAAACATTTTTGAAGTTTATTTAAACAGTAAAATTGTCAACAATGCACACTTACCCGTTACCTCGACACACATTCACGCGTGTATATATATAAATACATATTTTATCTTGTTATATGTTATTTAAGATACAATAAAAGATGAATAAATAAATAAATTTATTTTCATAAAATCTTTAAATTTAAAAATAAAAATATAAAAACTATACAAAATTAATTTGATATTTGAAATTAAAAAATACGGTGTGCATGGATTTATAATGGGATTTTTAGTAGTTAATTTTTTTTTGTTATCAATTTACCTACTTAAATTAGAATTTATGTGCATTACAGCTATTTCAATTCAGACAATACAATGATAAACTTACTCACAATACAATACAGTTCGGCCCAAGGAAAGATGCATGGACGTAGAACCCAGCAGACCGGCCCAGTAAAAGACATTTCCAAATACTTTCGGGAACCTGTTAACGAATGAAAACAGCCCGGCCCATCCCAGTTACCTCAAAACCAGCAGTATTTTTTTCTGAAAAAAATAAATAAATTCGAGAGATATGTCCAGATAATTTTAGAAAGAGCTAAAAAGACAAATCAAAATAGTAAAATCAAATTTCCAATGAAAGAAATACAAGAGGAATGCTAGATTTTATTGAAAAATAATGTTAAAAAAATTCTCAATACATTACACCAACACTAGGACAATCATTTGAGCATAAGGGCTCTGGTTCTATGGTCTCGAGCCTCGACTCCATCGGGAAGCTTATCAAGGTGACGGCAAGAGCCTGAACCTGGTTATTATGTGGCTGGCTTTTCATAGCCAGTTGTCTGTGGTGATCAACATTCAAAAAACAATACGACATATGAGTGGAGTTTACAAAGTGCATGGCTAGGCCTCCTAGAAAGAACAAGCTGGAAGCAGGTAAATAGTATTTGCCGGGTTCAGAGAGCATGTACGGGATTATCCAGTGGCCAAAACCTTGATTTTTGGGCAACAATCAAAGCTCTTGGCATCCCCTTTACATGCAAATAACACATGTGCCTTGATTGTTGTCGGTTTGGCACGTGTGGCCGCCCACCTATTCTTCTACTCAATTTTTATGCTGATCTTTAAAAATATAAAATCAAACCCCAAGCCTTCTTGCCCTTAAGATTTAATCAATTTTTTTTATCTATAATAATTTATAAAATTAATGATTTTTTCAATTTTATTTATGATAAATTTTTATTTTTATTTTTCAGGTTTGGTTATTATTATTTTAATTACTATTTCTTTTATTTTATATGATTTTTTAAATTGTATTTTTTTATATAATTTCAACTTTCTCGAGTTTTTCCCCTCATCAAATCTAGTTATTTTTTTCTATCATTGTTATTTTTATATTTTGTAAGGTTTTTTTATTTTATTTCTCAATATTTAATTATTCTGGTGTTTAATTTTCTAGTTTATGTCTTGTTTGTTTTTAAAAATTATTTTTCTTACTTTCTTATGTTTGGTAACAAACATAAAGAAAGTTGATCAAGGAATCTGAATTTTAATAAAAGAAAAATGTTTTTCTTTTCTTATTTTATGAAAAACACTTTCTTTCTTTTTTTTTTTTTTTTAATGCGGTCTCCTCCTCTTGTGACAAGCAAAATAGGAATCTTGTCATCAATCACAGGATCACGTGCATCTCATTCACACACCCTATCCAAATAAATCTACCTGGATTCACATTAACACCAATTGGTGCCTAGCTGGACTCACACTTTTGAATCCATTTTTGTTGGTTATTCGTGGCCGGGACACTTCCTTTGCCTGGTGAGGTTAGAATGGTTATTGCTCTTCCAGCCGGGGGTTGATCGGATTGAAGTGTACTTTGGGAGTCCGATGAAATTAAGTTGTATTTTATAGAAGCAAAAAAGAAGGTGGAATCTTAGCCAGCTTACTGAAGAAAGTCCTCAAAGAATCAGAACTGCATTAACAACAACATGACGTGGAGGATGAAACATGTATTTTTTATACTATTAATATATACAGTATAATATTTTTTTATTCAATAATTTTTATGTGTTAATTTATACTACAAATTAATTTTAATAAATAAATTTACTAGACACAAACAGATAAATGATCATAATCCATATTACAATATTAAATATCTTGATTTAAATTGATTTTTCAATTTTTTTGAATTATGTTTTTATTTATCATTCATGAATTTTATGTAAAAATTATTTAAAAAATACTTTATAATTTTTTTTGAATTTTTTTTATCTATCATTCATGAATTTTATGTAAAAATTATTTACAAAATAGTTCATAATTTTTTTGATTTGATCCGTGCATGAATTTCTCAATTTAATGTAAAAAAAGCATTAAAAAAGTTTACATGTTCAATTTTTTATCACGTATTGATATTTTAATTTGATTTTTATTTTTAAAAATTTTTAATTTCCCCCCTTAAACTTATTATAAATTTTTTATTTTTTATAATTTCATTTTTTAATCTAATATTATTTTATAAAATCAATTTATTTAAATCGAGATTATAACTGGAGTATTGGATTTCTTTTCTTTTAAAATGCGCTTACAATATTTTAGCAGACCAATAATACGGATGAGCTCCACCCTAGTCATAACATATTTCGAGTCCCAACCGGCGACCGGAGCTGCAGAAGGCAATTCTTGGTCCCTTGGAAAACAAAAGCTAAACAGAGTATGATGGGATCTGTACATGAAAACCCTGGAACAGGTCCCCGTTCTCAACGGTCAACATTACTTGGAATTAGAGTATATTTAAAATTATGATAGTGATTTTAATTTAAAATATTTTTTATTTATAAATATATTAAAATAATATTTTTTTATTTTTAAAAATTATTTTTAATATAAATGTATCAAACAATTTAAAAATATTAATTTAAAATAAATTAATATCTTTTTTAAAAACTTTTTAAAACACAAGTTAAAACACGTTTCTAGATATACTCCTAATAAACACAGGAAAGCAAGATAATATCTAGTAGATCACCGGCCCGTGGTACTGCCGTTGGGTTGATTAATCTATGGGCTCTCCTCTCCTGCAGGCGGCCGTGCAAAGAAGATTAAAATTCTAACCATTAAAAAAGCACATGTCAAGGAGACGAGGATGGCTCCCCGCGAAATGCATGATATATTATTATACATGTCATGTCCACCGCTACCATTGTTCGACTACAGAGCGAAACAAAATAGTAATTGTATTATTAATATAAGATGTGTATACATACTTGGTTTTCTTTCACGGATGCCATTCTGAAGGAGATCTGATTGATATATGCATTTTAATTACCCACAAAGGATCTTTCATTTTCCTTTCCTTTAGTTTAATTACTCTCAACGTGTCATGGATACTGAGGCCGGTGTCGTCCTCAGTGTCTAGACAAAACGGAATACATTCCCGATGACCAATAGGACAGCTACGCAACCAGAAGATGACGTTAAGCAGCGAAACAAAACAGAAACAGGGGGGGCATTTTGGTTCATGATTTCTATGATTTTCCTTCCTCCGCTGCTGCATCAGCATCTTTCATTTCACTGCCTAATCTGACGATATCTTCCACAAGAATCTTTCCTTCTGTTGCAAGGAGAATACAGAAAATAGTAAATCATACTTGGAGTTAAAAGGTATGTCGAATATATATATATATATATATATATCTTTTTTTGTTTGGGGAGGGGGGGGGGTTTAAGGGATTGATTTTCCATCTACATGTTGGATGCTGCATAAAAAACAACCCCCAACAAATAAACAAGCGATAACCAAACCAAAATTGCATATTCACGTGATCGGTACATAACACTGCAATCGAATCATATTATAGCGGCATCTAAACACTATCCATCCAGTGAAGATTATAGCGAGAGATTCAATGAGAAATGATGGAATTCATCGCTAACCTCTGTCTTTGGAAAGATTGCTTATGAGCTCTTGGATCCCCTCCTTTCCCAGGTGGTCCTTGAGGTACATAGCAGCAGATGCAACCTCCTCAGGAGTCACTTTCCCATCATAATCCCTGACATCAAAATGAAAGACTTGTTGGATAAATAGACACATTGTAATCCTTAAAAGCCACTACAGAGTTCAGACCAAAGTTACTGAGCTAGGGCGCTCTTTTTTCTTTCTTTTAAGCTTGCAATGGAGAATTGCAGTTTTACTGCAAGCAAACTCTGGATGCAAGAAGACAAAATGAGCTAAAAGAAAGAGGTTCGCCGAATAATTCAGTGAAGCATGTAAATGGTAATTATCTTGCAGGGACAGTAGAAGCAGCAACATTTCCTAACAGTGGCTGGGATACCAGCAAATTCAGATCATATATATCAAGCTTATAGGAACATGAACATCAAATAAAATCTATTGCTACAAACCACTAATAACGTTCCAAGAATTATTTTTTGACTACCTCAACTGAAAAACCTAAGGTTTTCAAATTGAGCCACAAAATTGTTAGATTAATTCCAAACTATCACAAATGCTGTTTGCTCCCTTATCATCTTGCTCAGTTTAAGTCACTGAGACAATCTTCACATATTGAGTGAACAATTACGCAGAGCCAAGTTGTGAACCTTTTAGTCGTTTACAATAGCAAAATATTATGATTGTCGTTTTGTTTACCACCCAGGATATCAAAATGACAAATATGCCTCTTTTCTTTTGGGGGCATTAAGACTTCACAACGAGCTTTTGACAGATTCACAATATTCATGGACTCTGTAAGATGTACTGAAATGTACATCACTAGCCTTGATGTTTCTGGACATCTGCAATTTCAGATATCTAGCTGATATTCAGAAAACAAGTTCTTTAGGCTACATCTGAAGAAATTTCTATGTGCAAGAGATAATCTATGCAATTTCCAGAGTGACAACATAAAACCACCACAACCCCCACAGTTTCCAAGATAACAAAAAAACAAACCTATCAAGCAGGCGCCATCGATCTCCAATTTTGGCATCAACATCGTCAATTTCCTTTTCAAGCTTTTGGAGCATGGCATCTACCTGAAATGTGAGCACATCAAAGCAACATCCGAGTTACAACATCCGAGTTACATTCCAGTCCAGAACCTCAAACAGTATGCATTAGTATTCTACAAGAAGAAGACTTCAAATGTAAATAAAAAAGGAAAAAAGATGCTAACAGAACAGAAGATTCTTCAAATAACTTACTCTATTGATCAGGGCTGAAGAAATTTTGTCAGAGATAGCTGTCTCAGCAGCATGATCACTCTCCTCTCTGGCAGCTTTGTATGCCTTCTTAGCTTCTTCCTCACCTTCAGTGCCTTCTTTATCCACCATACTGTTATACAAGTCTATCTGGAAATGGACATAACAGATGAGTGAGGTAGAGGAAATGCAGCTTACCAAAGCCCAAATCTACAAACTCCAACAGTGTAGCTCTTCATCATGAGAATGCCCTTGATGGAGATCCCCATATAATTGATTTATCAAAGTTTACTAAAAGGGTCAGATACTCGCTTAACATATACAAAGTCTCGTATAAACTGATGAGAGCTCTATTACCATTCTATCAAATCCAAACCAATATTTACCTCTGGCTAGAATGCATACAAAGAAATTTACCCTTGGCAGACAGCTTCCACTAAGACCATCAATCAACAGAAGAACAAAAAACAAACAGAAAAGAAGAGCACTTTTCTAACAGCGTTGCTGGTTTAATCTCCCAGGAACAAGAATCTTATCCTGAAAAGGAACTAATGCAGTATATTTCCAGCCTATCTAAAATGGATAGAGGTTCCATTGCCTGGGCAATCTAGGAGGTTTGAACCATACCCCTACAAATTCTCCTGAGGTTCAAAAAGAATAAATTAAATATGCAGATAATGCCTGGAACATAAATATGAATGTCATATACAACAAATTGTTGCAAGGTTCAGAACACATAAATTAAATGTGCAGATGATGCCAGGAACATAAAGGTGAACGTCATATAGAACAACATTGATATCATACCGCAGATAAACAGGGAAAAATCACCAAAAAGCTCATGTGATGATGGGGTTAAAAAGGAAAAAAACAAGAACAGGGAGATTCCACCATATTAGCGAGTCATGTAAAATCCAGATTGTCAAAAGGAATAGAGAAAACTGTTGTCATTCTCTTTTAGGTCCTCAAAATCAGATGTATAGGATCACAAATAAGGAATAAGTTAAGTTGTTCCTACCTCCTTTTTGACAAGGCGCAGGAACTCTTCACGCTCCCTGCTCACAGACTGGAAAAAGAAGCAGTGAAGAAAGTAGACAGTAAATTATATGACATAAAAATGTATAACAGAAAACAAACAATCCTGGTCCTTACAGATGCAGAAGCTAATACAGCCAATGCATGGCTGAGTTCACAAAGCTGCTCATGTTTCTCCAATGTTTTTGCTTTTGCCTGTTCTCGTGCATCTCTAGCTGTTGGAATACTCATCTCTTCCAAAGCCACATCCTTTTGACTACTAACAGATTCCTTCATCTTGGCCTGCTCCTCCTCCTCCTCCTCCTCCTCCTCCTGTAAAATTAGTTTATTTAGAACAACTAGAAAAAAGCAAAGCATTTAAACAAAGCACAATAAATCTAGCAACATAAGGCTACTATATGAACTGCACATGCTCAAGACAATCAAATTAAGATCAATGTGTTCCGAAGAAGACAGTGAACAGGGTCATCGCCTAGTGCAACAATAAAAGCCTTGATCTGACAGCTAAGGTACGCAATTTTTTATTTGAAAGCAGACATTACATGCAACATTACAATCTATCAGCATAGCTCTCTTGCGCACACATATCATGCATGTATGTGTAGAATTTTATCAGACTGCAGAAAAATCATTCGGAAAGGGCTGTAACTCCAACAGTAAATGTGAGAGCAAGTGCAGAACAAATAATCAACCTTGATCAGTTCTTCTTGCATTTCTAGGTACTCCAACTTTCTCCTCCTTTCTGAAACTGAATCCTCAGATGGCAGGGCTGTAACTCCAACAGTATCCACCACCTCGTCCGGAAGAGATGAGAGTGTAGCCTGGACAGCTTCCTCAGGCCTAACTTTTCCAGAAATAGAGAAGGCTCTGTAGAGAGTAAGGATGATAAAATTTTAGATTGCAACCATGCTTCTTGGGGTAAGTATGAAAAAATATAAAGCATTAATTTACCTGGACAATATCAACAGAGAGGATGGCACAGAGCGATTGAGAGACAAATCCAGCCAATCATGCAACTGCAGAGAGACATAATTATCTACTTTAGAAAGTGGTGAACAGCATATTCAGGGGAAAAAATCCAGACAGTTTTTATTTATCATCCAGAAACTTAACTTCAGGTCATTGGATGACATCTGAGTTTTCATAGCCAGGTGGGTGAAATAAACAAAGAAGAAAGGTGATGCCAATTAATACTAAAATAAATACCAAATGCTTCAGTTCTTATTGAAAACCTTAAAGAAATAGGTATGATGAAATCTTTTCCTTGTTTACAACAGTACTGTGGCACATTAATTGCGCGAAAACTAGCTTGGCTCAAATCTTTTACTTAGTTATATGCAGCTGACACTGAAAGCATAAGCATGGTCCAGGGTGCATGTGATTATGTATTTTGACATTTTTCTTTTCTCAAATGTGCACCATCATCACAGAAGTTCTTCTTCCACATATGTAAAAGCTACAAAATATCAATTTTTGACAAACCTGTTGCCGCATTTCCTCCACAGAAAGCAATCCAAGCAAGCCTCGGTCTCTACATGCTTGACGGAGTTCAGCTTCAGAAAGGGACTCCACACCCTCAGCTTGAATCATCTTATCATCACTCTTGATCCTGCCAGATTCAACAACTTAAAAAGTTTTATGAAGCAAGAATTTAATCAATGATTCAGAGTTTCATGAAAGTTCTTGTCCCCTCATTTTGGGAAGTTCCGGGTGCTCAAATGGGCACTAACTTGTCTGCAAAATATTTTAAAGATTTTAACATGTTTGTATCCATTTCATAAGCATTCAAAGTCAGATCTGATGGACATGCTTCAACAGTTTTTTCAAATCATTATATATAATCAGTGAATTTCTAAATCAATTAGGAAACAACAAACCCATTATGGCTAATCAGGAAAAACCCAACATTCTTCGCAGGTCACGCCATAAGTCTTCACACAATAATTGTGAAAAAGAACAGCTTTCCTAAAAATACCAAAATAAAATAAAATAACAAGGGATATCCTACTCTTGCAGTCTTCTCCGAAGCATATAGCGTAGATATGCATCTGTTCCATATGGGCTGATACCCATATACTTACACATGTTTACTAACCGAGGCCTGCATATAACAACCAAAGCAGTACATTGTTAAATCAAGGAAGTCTTAAAAAAAAGAAAGGACAGGATACTTTTAGAAATAGTGCTGTGACAACAGAGATGAGGACCTGCTAATGTTATCCAAAGTAAGCTCATCATTGAATAGCTTGGCAAACCCTAAAATTTCTTCATTGGAAACACGGGAACCTGTTCTAACCTGTTTGGATGGCAGAATGACAACAGACATTAGTTTGCCATGCAAGAGTAGCACATAAAGTAGATGTCTTTCTCTTGCTTGGAGGACAGAGAAAAAAAAAAAAAACCTTGTTCATAAACTCATCAAGATCTTCCGCTGTCTGCTTTGCTTCTCCACTTCGAGAGTTCTGGACTTCTTTTGCCATTTCTTTCACCGTGTCTTGAAGAAACTTTGCGTATTCAATTCTTGCATTTAGTTTTCTTTTTAATGCCTCCTACAAGTCAAGCATTGTACATAAATGGTTTGAAAATTAAAGGTGGACAGTTAATATATTTGAACAAGTATTAAGGCAGGACCACTGACTCTTTCCATACAAAACCATTTGATACAGTGACCAATGGAACTGAAAAGCTCAAAAAGTGTATCTCTACCTGTTCCTTCATCCTGTCCTGGAAGGTTGATGGCAACATGTTTGGAAATAGTTTTAGGAATACTGGCAACAAAAACTCCATGAATGGAACTATGATGAAAACAGCGAAAGGGACCAGCCTAAATATGTCGGCAGTAGTGCGTGTTAGTTGTTGTCTTTCCCTTCTTGAAAGACCCTTCCCATTGGCAAGTTTCACCAGTAACCTCGAACCAATCCTAACATCAGCCCAAAGTAGTTTTGTACCCAACCAATAGTGCTGCAATGTAGACTTAAATTCATCCTTCCAATGATGAAGCTTCTTAGCCCAGTCTTCCCTAAATAAAGAAGAGGTTGTCAATAAGCAATCGACAACTTAGTGGAAACCAAAAGAAACGAGAAGCATAACTTTTAACCTGCTCATAGAAGCAATGGCTCTCAAAGCAGGGCCAATACCCAAAAGCTTAGCCCATATTTTCTGCATTACTGTTTTTGCACTCTTTTGGGACTCTCGCACCTGCTTAGCCTTAGCCTTGGCTTTAACCTCAGTCAAATCTTCAACAGCTTCATCACACTCCTCCGGCGAAGCTTCCTTCACCTGTTTGGTAGCCTGCTGTTCATTTCTATCGTTACCATGCCCATATTCAGGTTTACCAGCAGTTGCTATTGAAGCATAACGTAAAGACTGTGAATAACACCCAATCCCCAAGGAAGAAACAAAATCACCATTTCTAATTCCATGACCTAAACCAAAAGAATTGTGCCTAAGAAACCCTGCTGCTGATGACAAACCACCTTCAATTCTACTATCAGTATTCGCAAACGGATGACTAGTAACCCATCTCGATTCTTGCGAGTCATTTAATTGAGGCAGTCCTCGACCATACTTGAAACTCGAAAAAACCCGAATCAAGTAATTCGGTTCACTCAAGGAATCAAAGAGGGATCCCCTTCTCCGCAAGATTGCTCTCGAAGCCATTGTTATCAAAACAAATTTCAGTCTCTAAGCATAAACAGACAGTAACATATCTGATACACCACCTGACTTAGCCAGCCTGTAGTTCACAATATTAATATTAATACTAGTTAAAAATAAAAAATAAAAAAATAATTAAAACCTAATCACATATCACTTACTTTCTCCAACAAAATTAGCTCAGGAAACAATAAAAATAAATAAATGAATAAATCATAACAATTATTTGGTTTATAAAGCATGAAATTAACCAAGAAAAATAGTTGAGATTAAAGAAACCTAGCAACACCTCAATGTTTCAATTCATACGAGCAAGGCACGCACTTAAACAAACTCATAAGTGATTAATGACAACAGAATTTGACGATGATCAGGCAATTGATCATGAGGATTTGATTAATAATCATAATATAGTTAGAAAAATGAGGAGATGGTTTGACAATTACCCTGCAAATCTGAGAAAATGGAGTGACAAGAGAAAGTGGAGGCCGAGTCAGTTCGCGAGCGAGCAAGAAGGAAGGAAGGAGCAGTGAATGCTGCCGGGGCTCGGGGGCGCTTGTCTTTCTTTGATAAATGGAAAGATATTCGGGTATATTACCTTGGAGAGAGGAGCCCGTTTGTTTTCTATTCGTTCGATTAGTGTCTGATGGGATGTTCTAGACTGGACTGAACCGTTGGATTGGGGATTCAGAGTGGTCAAAGATCTTGGCGATGATTTAATTAATTAAAGGGGGATTATGCATGATGGGACTTGGGAGTAATAATTTCCAAAAAACATGTAATTTATTTAATTAATAATAAAAAGTTACATTTTACATGTGACGTTGTCTTAAAAAAAAAAAACAATTATGAAAAAATCACAATAACTTTCTGACGAAATTGTTACTGAAATTTGAAGATTTGATAGATGTATTAATATTACAAAAATCCTTTTTTATTTATAATATTTTTTTATATATACAATAAAAAAATATGTAAAAGTATTTAAGGACATTGTGAATATAAAACAGGTTTTTTAAAATATCTACAAACTCTAACACGGTTTCTGTAATTTTTTTTTATCTTGCAAGAGTTGCTATATTTTTTTGTTTTTTAATTGAGAATAAAATTATATTTTTGGATAAATCTTGATTTAAATTAAAAAAGATTTTTTGTTAAAAATTAAATAGACTTTGATCATCCCTAACGATGTTCTTAACCAACAGCGCTGTGCTGTCAGATTAATTAATTTTATAAACTTCAAGAACTAGATTATAATTAACTCTACATTTTCTTAAACACTAATTTTTTGAAGAATGATGTTTTGGTAAACATAGTAATTAATACATTCCGTATCACACGTGAATATCTAATAGAGAAGTCGCAGCTCCTTACGTAAGGTTATTTTATCATTCACGGATGATAAGTACAAAGAAAAGGGATCGCGTGCTATGACCATTCTCTTTCTACTGCAGTAGCTCTTGAACACTAGTGCGCCATAGCCACCTTCCTTTATAAACATATTTATCTGTCCTGAAACTAGCCGCCGACAGGGAGTGCAACCAGTCATGGCGGCTTCTGTCCCACAGTGCTCCACTCGCATTACAACTCAAACCCCATGTTCCAAACCGGATTCTGTTGGTGGGTTTTCAAGGAAAAGCTCTGGTTTTGTGCATTTTTTAAGGCCCTCTGTTTGGAAGAGTAACAATGCTGTTAAGGTCTCCTGTTCCATTAGCAAAGACAATGGAAGTGCAGTGTCTGTTGCTGATTCTGTGCCTACTGTGACTCGCTCCAAGTCAGTCTTTATCTCTTATCAAGCTCCATTTTTTTGCTCTTTCAATTTTTGCCTCTCTCTCTTGTTTTGGCCTTGTTTTGCGCATTCATGTCAAGATTTTTTTTTTTTTTGGGGGGGGTCTTTGTCCGTGTTACGGTGGTTATATAAAGATGTTTTCTTTTCAGTTGGGTTTCATTTAGTATTGAAAAGGTTGTTGTTTTCCCCTCGTTTTGTCGCTTCATTTGTTGGATCTAGTGGGTTCATGTTCTCCGTATGGTTGAAAATGGGAATTTAATCAATATTAATCTTCTTATTGTTTTTAGTGCATTGTGTTGTTCATTATTGCTTGGCTGCTATTGTATTTTTTTTAATTGGAATTTGATTTGCGTATTTTGGCTGGTCAGAAATACCTCCACACTAGTCCAATTCAGTTCTTCATTTCTTTTCAATCGAAAAAAATTGGAGCTTAATGGCTTGGCAGCTATTATAACAATCTTGGTTAGATAATTCAAAATGGAATCTTAATCATGAATTTAATAAGTCTATTGCTTTCTTTTGACTTTTCAGATTGCAACGGCACACGATTTCAGTGTTTGTAGGTGATGAAAGTGGAATAATAAACCGGATTGCTGGGGTTTTTGCTAGAAGAGGTTACAACATTGAATCCCTAGCTGTTGGTTTGAACAAGGATAAGGCTCTCTTTACCATAGTTGTCTGTGGAACTGAAAAAGTTTTGCGGCAAGTTGTAGAACAGCTTAACAAGCTCGTGAATGTTATTAAGGTGCAGACCCATCGTACTAGATTCTAAATATCTTTTCTTTACAAGGAATACATGAACAGAAACCCACAAAGAATTGCGTGCCTACCCCCCTGCATTCAATCTGCCCTTACAGACATTTTCTACCTTTTTCCCCTTAACTCGCATGGTAATTCATTTCGATTCATCAGGTGGATGATATCTCCAGGGAACCACAAGTAGAACGTGAATTGATGCTCATAAAATTCAATGCAGATTCAAGTACTCGTGCTGAGGTAATAATGTGGTATTTAGTTTTAGACTAAAAATTGTAGATTATGCAAACTCTGTTTGATGTATTATTTCTTTGATGACCTCTCCAATGTAAGCAAGCTAAGTTATTGAACTAACGAGTTCTCTCTGAAGCATCTAGTCCTCCATTGTGTACAGTGCACATATTATCAGTCATTGTGCATTCAAGTTGCTGATCTCTTTTCATTTGCTTCAAATTTCAGGTCATGTGGTTAGTGGACATTTTCAGAGCAAAAATTGTTGATATCTCAGAGAATTCACTTACTATTGAGGTGACCTTGATCAGATGCTTATTATTCTTTCTGCAACTTTTTCTTTGTTTTGTATCCCGTAGCTACGATGCTTAATGTTGACTTAAACTAGTGATTAGAGTTGGAAATCAGATGGTGTTGGTCATGCTATATACCTAGATGTTTAGGCATTCACACAAGGTAAATTTGTTAAGGCGTTGATGGGGATTTCAATCCTACCATATCTGATTTGAAAAATCTGTCTGATATAAAATTCTAGTGCTTTAGATGGGCACTGGTAAATTTTTCAAAGACTTTGTGTAACTGATATCTTCTATGCAAGGAATTTAGAAGATCATGGTTAGAAACAACTCACTGTTATGAAAACTTCGTGTGACATGCATTCTGTGCACATACTTTTAAAGGTCATGGATAGAAACAATTCACAGCTAAGAAAAACTTTCTGCTGCTCTTTAGCTCCTCCGGAGTCCAAACCTTTGTAGGTTATAGTGCTGTTCCAAGTAATTTTGCAACCTGTTCTTAGCCATAGAAGATTGTGGTTTGACTGGTTACTGTTAAATAAATGGAATGCAAATCACATAACAATTCCTTTATGTGGCTTCTCTGAGGGAAAGCTAATTTCTACGTGAAATGCATTCTAGTTTATGTTTTCAGGACTGTGATTGTTATATTATCTTCTTGTCTTAGGTCACCGGTGACCCTGGGAAGATGGCTGCCATTCAAAGGAACCTAAGCAAGTTTGGAATTAAAGAACTTGCAAGAACTGGAAAGGTTGAATGGCTCTTATCTTTGTGTGTTTGACTGAGCACATGCATGGTCTCTTTCTCTCTTTCCTGCATAAATTCAAATCTGAAATTGTCTCTAAGCATCTTCAATCTTCGGAGTTCTGTTCTAAAAAATATGTTTACCTGTGTAATTGTATGCAAGGTTTTTTCACACGTTCACAAAATAAAGTTTTAAGTTTCACATCGATTATCTCAAGATGCTTTTGTTGTGTATGATGTTGTGTGTACTGAAGTTTGAATTTCATTCTATTTCCAGATTGCTTTGAGACGGGAAAGAATGGGCGAGACTGCTCCATTTTGGAATTTTTCTGCAGCTTCGTATCCTGATCTTGAGAGGGTTCCATCTGGGGTAGCTCTTGCCAGGAATTCTACTAAAACTGTTGCAGGGAATGCAAACCTATCACTTAATGGCAGCACCTATTCATCCTCAAAGGTGTAACTTCTTAATTCCAGTTACCAGGATAGATATTCATATGGTGGTTTACCTTTCTATTATTGTCTTTGACATATAGTGCAGAGCGAAATTTTGTTTGCACAACAATAAGCCATTGCTGCTGTTTTGGGTTGTTAATAATATGTTACTGGACCCAAAACAATTTTGTTTGATGTAAGAATTTGGAAGTTGTTATCAGACAATATTTCATGTTACTAGGCTCAGGATGGTAAGTTTGTTGTTAATCTGAAGACAGTTATTTATTTAATGGTTTCCTAACTTTCAAACAAGTGATAACTGATATCACCAGATCACACTGAACTTGTTCATGATTACATATTGCTTGAAGACAGCGTGAACCTTTAATCTACTCTGTTCAGACTGCACCTACTTGTGTTCTGAGAAGGTTCTTTGGATTGCTTTTTAAATGACTATGATGATGCTTCCATGTATGTTTGGTGGCCACTGTTTGGATAGATGATATAGTAAGTTATTTTTAAGTTTGTGAGCTTTCTGATGAGCAAGATTTTAAGTGGTTTTATTGTTTTTGGCTTTCTCATACTTTCAAAGCAAAAGTGGTAGTGGCCTTCTTTTGGCACCATAACTGACACTCATTTGTCATTGCAATGAAATGTTATGCATATAGAGTTTCCAAACCAATACTTCAATTTAAATGGAGAGAATATCTGCATCACATTTTTCCTGCATGCCTCCATTGGTTTCTGTATGTTGCGAGTTTCTTATTGGATCATTAGTATGCCAGACTGAATATCTGTTTATTAGTCTCTTTTTTTTCTCTTTAATTGAAGGGTGATGTCTATCCTGTGGAGCCTTATGATGACTTCTTGATGAGTCCAGTTCTTGATGCTCATTGGGGTGTTCTTTACGATGAAGATGTAAGACAAGACACTCATTTGCCTCTCAAAATGAAGTTTTTTTCTTTATTGTTAAACTGAAATTTGTCACTGAGAATTGTGAAATGTATGGATAACTTAAGTGATGATGATGAAGTCCAACATTTTAGTTCATACTTGATGCAAAATTTTAAAAAGGTAATCTTGACACTGAACATAATTTGGATTCGGATTTTTTTTACCTTATACCTTTATTTTCAATTTCTTATCATAGTAAACAGTTAAAGTGCTTTTCTTCTGGTTGATACATTTTCTGTATCGTTGGATATAGGTGCTGATGTCAACTTGATTTGACATTTAAAATGAGAAACTTATTGCCCTTCTTGATTGGTAACTTGTTTTCGGAACAGTGGTTTAATTCATGCATGATAATTGGTAAAGATGGCTTATGATAACT